GGGTGGGGCAGGGGGCGGTGAGCTGTGCGCTCCAGCTGGCCCCGGACGGGCGCTCATCGCCGCTTACAGTCCCCGAAGAGCCTGTGTCCGGGTGATACGACCTGTGTTTGTGTGGGACCCTAGATACTCTCCACTGAGGGCTATCCTCACACCTGAGACCCCAGGTGGGAGTCAGGCCGAGTCCCCCAGCAGCCTATGGAATATGAGAAACTGTGCGGAGAGTCAGAAGGGAAAGACGGCTTGGACCCTGATGAGGACTGCAGGGTGGGAGGACTCGAGGTGGACCAGGATTACTGACAGGACACTTGGGCTAACTGATAAAAATCAGAATACCCCTCCCTGTTAGTCTCTTGAAAGCCCTTTTTCCCCTGACCTCAGAGGACCCGCCTGGCCTGGGCGCTGGCCATGTCCATGCCTGAGGCAGGAAGGAATCAACCTTGACCTGGAAAGCCTAGGCCTCTGGGGAACTGGGAGAAAGGACAGAGAGAGGAGCACAGGGGCATGACACCTTTTCAGGTCCTGTAGATTACCCAATGGGAATTTTATTTGATTGCAATTAAGACGAAAAGTATTGGGCACAAAGATCTAATGAACAAATTCTATTTATCTTCTGTCTAATTTTTTGCACATTCGAGAAACCAGGTTGTTCAAGAACCACTGCTTTCTGAGTAACAATGGGTAACTCAGTTCTCTAGAGCTTCAGTTTGTCCTTTGTTAAAACAAGATGATTACAGTAAATGATCTTTGAGTGCAAAACTCCTGTTGTTGAATTATTGACATTTATGTTTGCGGGTTCAAGGGCTAGAGGAGTAATCAGATCTCAGTTAGCCAAAAGGAGTGCCCTCCCACCCACACACTCAAAGAGATAGCAGCAGACTCAAACTTTCTGTGCCTCAATTTCCTTTTCAGTGAAATAGGATGACGACCTTCTGTCGTATTCACTTCTACTTAATGACACTACAGAAAATAGTCGTTGGGACAAATTAGATGCACTTCCAATGACTATTTCCTTCTAATTATCCCACTTTACCTAATCAGAAATATTTCTTGCAGTGATTATTTTTTGGCCCTGTTTACATTTAGAAGTTTCCTTGGCCTAGTCTTTGAATTATCTGGTCAGCTGATTTTATAGTGACCATTTCACTGGCATCACAAAGTTCCTTTAAAATATTACTTGTGTTTAATGACACCTTGCACTGTGAATTCTATAATCCATAAATAATTAACCTTACAATATCTGAGAAGGTATACTTAATAAAACTCACTCTCATGAGTGAACTGAGGCACATTCCATTAGAGTGCTCTATCTGATACAAAACAGCAGGCCTAGCAGCCAAACTCAAGATGCTTAAGGAGAAACAAAAATAGTATGCCAGAATCCTATTACAATGAAGTTCTTATTATGTTAATTTAGATATATTTCCTGCCTAATTCTGTGTCTGGAATTCAAGTATAGGTAGGAAAGCTGATATAGAGAATAACAAAATGAGTACATGATTTCTTCTTCGAAGCCAGCATTATTAAGAGATTACAAAAATCTGACAGTGCAGGTGAAGTTCACATTTTTGTCCTTATGTTTACTTCTTATTTAAAGAACTCCAGTCATCAGGAGTGATAATAAGCTGAAGGAGCCATTTTGAGCCACATGCACTTCTAATAAATAGTGGCAAGAACCTATTTTCCACATAAATATTAGCTGGAACTCCAAATTTTCAGTTCTTTTTAATCTTCTGTAAAAGTAGGTTTACTGTGAAAGACATATAGTAAACAAGCATAGAAGGAAAAAACTATAGCTAATATTTGCCTTGTAAGACACTGTGGCTGTGGGGTCACTCTGCACACAACTGGTAATATTAAAAGCAGCTGTAGGAACTGGGGTTGTAAATGTATGGTAGAGTTTACCTAGCATTCCTGAGGCACCAAATTCAATCCCTGGCATTTGGGAAAAAGAAGGGAGTGAAAGGTCCCAAAATAAAGGATTAGAACCCCTCTAATTTTCTTTTATGTAGGTGAGAATACTATCAAGTCAAAATGAGATTTTCTTGCCTAAGTGAAAATCAGTTAAGTATACAGTACACTTTTTATAAAACTTACAGTTGCAATAGTAGATTCATATACCCAAATTATTGCAAACATACTTTCAAATTTTCCAAAATCTAAACTGAGTAGCTGATTTTTTATTTAAATTAAAATCAGATCAAATCAAAAATTGAATACTTTATTGTCACTACCTGTGTTTTAAGCACTTAGTAACAACATGTGGCCAATGGCTATGGAATCATAGGGCACAAGTCCAATCTCAAATGCATTTGAGTGTTTAATAATTTTTTTGTGACAGAGTCTTTTTTTTTGATACCAGGATTGAACTCATGACCTTGTGCTTGGGAGGCAGGCATGGTGCCACTGGGCTGAATCCCCAGCCCAAGTCTTGCTATATTATCCGTACTGGAGTTGAACTCCTGGAATCAAGCAATACTCCCACCTCAACCTCCCAAGTAGCTAGGATTATAAGTATCCTCCATTGTGTCTGGTTAATAAAATATTTTAAATGATTAAAGAAGATTAAATATACATAGCTGCATTTTTGCAATATTTACATAGGAGTTGTTACATTACTTACAGAGTAACTCAAGTTACACAACCTTATTAGTCTTTTACCTACATAGCTTTGTTTATAGGTTATAAATTATAAACTATAAGTGCTACATAGAATATTTATTTTCTTTACAAAACCCTGATGCTTTTTCTTCTTCTCAGTCAACTTAGTTGCTTCATTCTTCAAATTATTAAAACTTCAGAAAGTTGCATTTGACAATATGTCATATAGAATAAATCTCTCAATTAGTAAGACTGCATTTTAAACAAACTTATGGGATAAACTATCCAAATAAGTGATGTGCTTCAAGATAGTCAAACTGCTCGAGGGATTTTACACAAACTCCTAGCTCTGCTTCCATTATTTTAAATGTTTTTTCTAATTCCTCTTTGAAATTCTTATTTACTCTGATAAACACAACACAGTGTTTTAAGAGTATTCATTTCCCATTCACCAGGAGCAAGGATTAAAGCTTCAACATATTTTGGGGGAGACACAATTTAATCCATAATGAGTATGATGAAAGGAGATTAAATATGCATCTTTCTAGCTCTGTGCCTGGGGATCTTATTCTCTTTGGGCCTCAGTTTCCCCAGGTGAAAAATAAGGATAATAAAAGTACTTGCCTTTTAAATTTAGGGGGATTAAATCAAGTGATATCTGTGCATTTATCCAACAAATATTTACTGATCACTTAGTATATGCCAACCCCTGATCTTGGCCCTGGAGGAACAGTACAGTATTGAATAATACAAACGCCTTGGCATCTGGAAATTATGTCCTACTAAGACAACAAACAAGTTATAATTATATATATTATACTTGCCTTTTAAATTTAGGGGGATTAAATCAAGTGATATCTGTGCATTTATCCAACAAATATTTACTGATCACTTAGTATATGCCAACCCCTGATCTTGGCCCTGGAGGAACAGTACAGTATTGAATAATACAAACGCCTTGGCATCTGGAAATTATGTCCTACTAAGACAACAAACAAGTTATAATTATATATATTATAATTATATATATATATATATCATATGATTCAATATATGTAAAGCACTTAGTATAGTGCTTGACCCATGTTATTCTTTTTCTTCATAATCTATTTCAATTTATGAAGTCATTATATTCCTCCTATAGTATTTACACCTTAGCTTATTCACAGTGTTGATTAAACATGTACCATATACTAAACTTCAAACTATGTATGGAATACATAGGCCTAGAGGGAGAAACAGCCAATATATAACAAAAGAAGGTCATTACAAAGTTTGAACTGTGAAAGAAATTAGTGTGCACTTCAGCCATCAATAACATGCAGATTGGTGTTTAAACATTTATAATGCTTTTTTTTTTTTTTGTACCAGGGATCAAACTCCAGACCTTGTGCTTGCACAGCAGGCAGTAGCACCACTGAATTAAATCCCCGGCTTCCTATAATACTTTTAATTGTAATTTTCAAAATACTTGGGATACTTTGTATTTAAGTACTTGAAAATTGAGTAATAGTAGTATATTTCAGGTAAAACTATAAAATAGCACCAGTAATGCTTCACTTACAGGTTTATAACAGACTTGTCCCCACTGGAGATACCCTTAGAAATATTTTATCAACTGTGAAAGGGAAAGAACTATTACTTTAGACAAGTAATAACTATTATACTTGTCAAAGATTCATAGTTTAGAGTAAGAACTCTAGAATTAGACATACTAAACTCCTATTCCACCTTTGCCACCCTAACCCTTGTGTGCCCTTATCAAATTACCTACCTCTCTCTGATAAGATGATCTATTCTCATCCATAATAAGCCCTATATGAGTATTTGTCAAATTCAAACAAGATAAATACATAAATCAGGCTTTTATATGCTTAATTTGAATTTTTGAAAAGAAATTACTACCCATCACTACAAGAAACTAAAGCATTCCAAGAATAAAAAATTTACTCACAATTTCAGGAAAGATTTTGGCATTAGAGAATAGAGTTAACTGACTTGGTAAGATTAAGTACTAAATTTGTAGGATTAAGAATTTAGAACTAGGGCCAGGAATTTAGCTCAGTAGTGCAGCCACCTGCCTTGCAAGCAGACAGTCCCAAATTCGATCCCCGGGACCCCCCCAAAAAAAGAATTTAGTACTAGATTCTTCTGTTTATCTTTGTTTAATAACAAATATTTTTAAATTTCTTCTGTTTAATTTTCATGTTTTAAGATTTGTGAATGAAAGTACTTGAAAATAAAATTGATTTCTTTCTTTCTTTCTTTGTTTTTCCCAGATATCACCGCAGTATAGCTTCTACAGTTTATAATTGTTACAGTTCAGACCTAGAGTATCCTCCCAAAGTCTTGTGTATTCAGAGATGGGGCTTTTGGAAGGTGAATGTATCATGGAAACTGACTTGCTGTCTTGCTGTTAGGAGGTGAGGCCTAGCTGGAGATAGGCCACTGAGCATGTGACGGGGTATACTTCTCCTCCAGGATCCTCTCTTTACTCTCCACTTCCTGGCCACCATGATGTGAGCAGCTTTCCCCCACCAGACCCTTCCATTGTGCTCCTCCTTCCTTAGAGCAAACTGACTATAAACTGAAGCTTCTAAAAACTGAAACCTTTAAAACTGTGAGGTGAAATGAACCTCTCCTCCTATAAGTTTAAGTGTCCTATTTTGTCCTACGGACAAGGAAACAACTAAAAACATAATGTGTCCATCTAGGTCCTGGGTCAACTATATATTGGAAATGAAAGCTTGCCATTTCCATGGTTCTTTGTACCTGTACCAGTCCAAACCTCTCCTCTAGGTTAAGGAATAGTAGAATTATGCAGATTCTGCAAGAAGGAAGGAAATTATGGCCTGCCCAAATTTGGAAAAGCCTATCAGGTATTCCTATCAGAGACCCCTGAGGTAGGTTCTGATCTCCTTCCCAGGTTACAGTGAATGCAGGGTTGAAGAAAAACTCAAAGAGAGAATTAAAGAAAAACATGGAGAGCCAGGATGGCCAGTGCTGAACAACAAGAAAAGGCCCTGGCCCGTCCAAGCCGCTGCTATTTATTGATGAAGTCATGGTCCAGTTGGAGTAAAGGGGATACTTGAGGGGATGTGTAGTAGCTATGCACACATTACTTATATAAACAAGCAAACAACCTTGTCCTTCTAGTTAAGAGGGTTTTAATTGTAGGATCACAATTTGAATAAGAGTCACTATGACCTCAGCACATAGGCTTTGGCCATACTCAAGTCTTAAAACACGCCAATTGTGTCATTAACTCTTCACAGTCTGCATGGCTTACAGCCTGTTTGGGGCATAATAAATAAGGCGGTCCCCCACAATTCCAATTATGCATTTAATGGTATATAATATATTACCTCAACATTTGCTGACTTAATCATTACATTCTGTCTCTTTATTTCTGTGCATTCTAAATTTGAGAAGGGCTTGACTGCTTAATTTAGGCTGAGGGTTTCTCATGTAACTGTAGAGAAAAAAGTGGCTGGTGAGCACCTGTAATACCAGCTACATGGATGACCAAGGCAAGAAGATCACTTCAGTCAAGGAATCTGAGACCAGTCTAAGCAATGTAACAAGACCCCATTTCCAAAACAGTGTCTAGGATTAAGAAGGGGTGGGTAGGTAACTGGCTAGTAGATGGGGCTGTCCCATCATATCTCCCTCCTCCCCAACCATACTTTTT